TAAATCAAATTTCAATACTGCTGGTATATTTAAACAAAATTTTGTAACAATCGAAAAATAGTTCAGTATCAGATGAAAAAAGTTCGCTTACTTTGTTTCAACACTATATCAAATTATTTTACAAATATTTTGCACTGGTTGCAAAATTGTTGCAAGGCACTGCAATTTACGAAAGCTTTGCATTACAAGACATACATAAACGAAAAAAGCATACAAAAATACTTAAATACAAAAAAAAAAAACACATTCACAAATCATTATTGCAATTTTCTTCCAAATATAAATAAATTGAAAAAAATGAAATTTCTTTCATAATCAAAGATTAAAAATAGTATTTTATGATCAATCGCACAGAAAGAAAAAATGTGGTATTTTTAATTCAATTTTGGTAGATTTAATATAAAATCAACCAACAACGAATTAAATTTACCATTTTTGACATCTCTGAGGCATATTTCTCAAAAGAGACTATCAGTTTAATAAGTTTTACCAATTGCTTCATTTCATTCACCAAATACATGGGCTAGCGTCATCTGTGGTTTCGAAAAGTTGGTAAATGTAATGAAGCAGTTGGTAAAACTTATTCAACAAATAGTCACTTTTGAAAAATATGCCTCAGAAATGTCAAAAATGGTAAATTTAATTCGTTGTTGGTTAATTTTATATTAAATCTACCAAAATTGAATTAAAAATACCACATTTTTTCTTTCTCTGCGTACTCGCTTTGCAGTATCATGTGTGTTTAGAATATCAATAGTCAGGATCGCTTGTTGCACTTGACTTGCATAAGCGTTGATAACTCTGTAGCGTGTGCTGATCAGCTGTTTGATTAAAGAATAATGCTCCAAAACCATATTGCAATATAAACCAGATTTACGAAGATCAATTAAGTGCTAATTTTCATTTTGTGTTGAAAATTATTTTTGTTTCCGTGCATCAAAAAGTAATATCATAGCAGCAGCCAACGATTTCAAATCGAAAAACGATGGATTTTTATTACTTTCCAATTGGATTTTTCGGAACATTTGTGTATAAATTCCGTGAATTGGAGTAGAAAGAAGGAAAGTGAATTATCAGCTTAAAATATTTTCGTAAAGTGGACAAAAGTAAATTAATTGAAAAGCAAAACTAAAAATGTGTGCAATGCTTTTTTTGTAACCGTGTGTTGCAGCAATGCATTGAAGAATATCAAATCAGTTTAGAAAGAAATAAAGGAAAAATTTGAGAGGAAGGAGAGAGAAATAGGAGATAGTAGTTTTCAAAACTGTATAAAGCGATGGAGTCATCACAAGGTAAAATTAAATATTTATTCAAATAAAATGTTCATTGAAACGATGTCTCCGAAAATATGCCGACATTCATTCAAGACAATTGATCGCTATCATTCATAACAAACTACTGACACAAGTCGGACATTGTATAATTCAGCATAAAAAACGAAACAAATTTAAATTGTTTGGCACTCCAATTTTATTTATTTTCAAAAATGTGTAAATACTTTTAATTTCAATAGATTTTATTTTTCATTCGTTTGGCATTCATTTGGTAGAAAGTTTTTTTAAATTTACTACGTAAAATATTATTCATGTATCTGTTTTTCTCTGTTAAATGACATCCATCCAAAAAAAAGATTAAGACTTCTCAATTTATGATATCATAACCATTGAATTCGGTTTTTCCCTCTTCAAAACTGCTCGTATGGCACGATAAATGTAAATGTATATGCCTATCAACATAATTACGAAAATCAATGAAACCTGCAACGAAATATCAACAAAAATGAAATGCAATTCTTCCAATCATTTCCTTGTTTACTTACATAAATAAGTGTGTTTGTTTCGAATCCGTTTTTTTCCCATAACCAACAACCCCATTCATGTTTTAACTGAAGGTTTATAGATTTCCCATATTCTGAATCTCGACGGCACTTAAAAACCCGAAAATCATAATAACTTACTAAATCTGTGCCACAAACTTCATCTCTGAAAGATGGAACACCATACGGTGTCTCACAGCTTCCAACTTCTGTTGTGCAGTCACATAAGTAAGCAATCGTAAGAACGAATTGAATGAAAATTACTTTATTCATTATTCAATTAACGCTTTTGTTCCATCAAACGGCTGAATAAATCTATAAAATCCCCGAATGGATTGCAAGTGACAAAAACACAACTAACACTCAGTGTGTCATGAAGTTTTATGATAACATACAAACCAAGCATCTACTGATATTCATCCGTTCTATCTGAAAATCATACACACATACACACGCAAACCCAAATTCTTGGTTCAGTCCGCACATTTCAGTCCGAATATGGATATTATACTTTACTTTGCGAACATGCATGCAACATATCATTATATTTGGACTTTTTCCGTGTCATGTATCGTATCTAATTTAAACTGAAAAAAATATAAAATATACATGTGTAGTTTTGTATATATCATGTTATTATAATACTAAACTAATAAAATTCCAATATTTGGACGCATGTATGGACTAGGCTGTCAAATGCACATTTATACTTCTGCTTTGAAGCATGCGCACGAAAGAAAAGTAAAACAAAGAATCAAAACACAAGGATTCAAAAATCGTGGTTGAACATTAACTTAACAGTTTTTTTTAAAACTGCCATGTAATTTTGCTCTTTGTTCGGTTTTTTTGTCAAGTTGCTCATCGAGTCTAGCACTAAGTACAAGTATGTGTCACCACTTCGTAGGCCAAGAATGTTACTTAGCAAACTGCATCCCATACTAGCAAACATATCATGTTTGATACACATTCAATTCCATCAGGTTACAATAAACATTTGAATAATTTACCTTTCTCATATATACAGCACTGTGTTCGAGATGCTGGCTCCAATAACTTCAAAAATAAAAAAAATAAACCAAATGCATATTGTGTTCTCTATTATTTTATTCAACATCGAACCTCTTCTACTCTTCTACTTAATATATGTAAAAATGTATCTTTCTTTATTATTAAATAAACGAAAATGCATTTAAAAATTCAAAGATTTTGATTGATTTGTACGTAATTAATTACAAAAAGAGAGAAAAAACGCGGAATAAACGTTAAATATTAAGGTAAAAAATAGCATTTTTGGTTTTGATTTTAATGTGGTAAAGAAATAATATCTCAATGAACATTTGTGTGGGAAATTCCTTTCTTTTTTTCTTGTTGTTCTCATAAAAATAGGTCATGTAAAACTTGAGCATATAATATTTTCGTTTCTTTAAATTTAGAATTAGATCCGTTCCAATTTAGACCTTTTACATATTGACTTAAATGGTTTTTATTTCAATTTAATTTGTTTTGTTTTCTCGTTTTGTGGAATTTCCCTGAGTTTTTGTTTCATATCTTACGATTGAACATGTCTTAATCGTACAGTGAATGAATATGTTATTATAAAAAAACTGGCAAGTTTGCAGCCAGTCTCATTTTGTATAAAGAATAGTTTTTTTTATGTAAATAAAAAATTGTCGTCAATATTTTGGCGTTTGCCACTTGGAAAACATAATATCCGAATGGAATACTTCATAATTAAAATGCATTTTCTGTAATTACCCCGTCGAATACAAAAGCAATCTACTGTGTTTTCTATAATAGAAAAAAAACATCAAATAGCACAATCTTCGGCGAAAACAGGTTTTCTCCGGGAGATTTCACTATTATGACATCATTTTCTTATCTGTGCTTGCTACTAAATTGAAATTCTATTGCCGTTACGGAATGGGGTTTTTAAATTTCGCACATTTGGACGCAAGTCTCTTGAATTATGGAAATTTTTGGAAGCTTTGTGCGTGTTATTTGACGAAATTGGAACACATTTTTAATAATCAATCGAATCATTAATTTCATATCATTCCATATGAAAATCACAAAATATCGCAAAATACTCGAAGAAAAATGGGGCAATTAAATTTTAAACAAAAAATTGTCTACAAACTACTCTAACAATCATGTTTTATAAAATGTAAATTCTATGAACACCAAATGTGTGTGTAAAGAGTAAGTTTACAAGTCTAAGTAACCATGTGTCGTTTTGTAAATTTAAAGAATGTCATTTTAGTTTCTGATATAAATGCGTGCCTCGATTAAAATGTCTCATTGTGTTGTCATGGGACTGTTATGGGAGATATTTGTAAATCTATTTTAGTTTTCTGATTTAGTTAGGCATTGTCACATTGTATTGGTTAATCAAGTTTTCGCATTCCAAACGAAATAATTATCTGATAAAAATAGGCCATGACCATCTCATCACAACAAATAAAAACGAAATCAACAAACCGTGACGGAATTGCTTTTTTTTCTCTAATCAAATGTTTTGTTGTCGATTTGTGCAAAATAGTACGTATATGTATATATTGGTCGTTTGGTAAATTTAGCGTTGCAATTTCTCACGCAACCAATCTTCGGTTAACTCATCCAATTCACGAACTTCATAGACTCGTGTTAAATCAGCTTCACGCTGCAGAGCCCGTTTTGAACCCGCATACATAATTTGCAGCTCCATTTGACTGTCACGTGGTGTGTAAAAAATGAAACACATTGGATACGAAATGCGTTTATCGTCGTGAACCATTTTATAGCTGTAGACGATGTAGCGTGGCTGATGGCCAGGTAACTGTTCTTGCAATTCATCCACCGAAATTTCGTCGAGCAGCTCATCAACGCACACCAATTGCTTTTCGCGATCCACTTTTACTATTTTTTCGAAGAAAAAAAACGATCCAAATTCAAGAATTGAATGAATTAGAAAATGAAATATTGATAATAAAACAATTACAAGCGATAAAAACAATAACGTCATAGCTGGCGGGCAAAATTGATAAAAAAACCGTTTATAAAGTGAAAATTTTCCATTGACACATGTATTATGCACCGTTTATAAATAGAATCAATACTTACAAATCAATGCACAATTTGCATTGTCTTTGCGGAAACGAAATTTACGCAATTCGTCTTTTACTTCGGGGCTGATGTCACAAATCGCGTCACTCTGTTTAAATCACAATTTAAATCAATTAAAGTAAAACACAATTCCATTATGTTCTTGTTAAACACAAATTGCACTTACCATTTTGATGTTTCTTTTGTTTCTTCCTTCAAACACTTCCTTGTTTATGCTTATTTCAAATGACTCAGATGATGTTTTATCAGATGTTTTCCAATTCAATGTGACAATGTACGTCTGATGTGTGCTTCAAGCAAGAAGTAAAACAAATGACTATTTATGGCGCTATAAAATTCGATCAAAACGTACTTTCACGTCTGGCAATTTGATACAAGGAAGTTGGACAGTAAATACACAACAATAAATGTCAATTATACACACTTTCGTATTAGCCAAAACGAACGATGTTACCATTCAGCGCACAGTAATGATTCACAAATCGGTTCTGTGTATTTTTCTTTCTGTCTCTTCTCACTTCGCTTGGTTCCATGTATGCAATAAACATACCGCTGTGATTGGAAAACAACAAAAACCATATGTACGACGGTGCACAGATTGTTTCGGTCGCACACACAACCGATACGATTGTCTCTTTCTTAAGCACTGGAGCGCGTAACCATTATCACTCAACATTAAACTCATTCATTTTCATTTGATTCAAACAAAAGAACATTTTATAATAAAAATCCGGGCGATTTGCCGATAGAAAAAAATTCATTTACATTCGTGAAGGTTTCATTGAAGATTTAATACATTCTTTAATTCAAAAGTCCCCAAAATTCCATCCAGTACATTGAAAAATCTCAAAAGTGCGTCTCATGTATTTTGATCCCGTACCGATGACACATAACAAAACGTCAACTTGAAAAAAATAATAATTACATTTCACTACTCAAACAAATAACTTCATTGCTTCAATACAAAGAAATCAACGCAAAAACAATATTATATTTTTCATAAGAATGTTGAAGTGGAGTCAGTGAATTTTTGTACAAGTTTTTTTTTATTGCTCTGTTAAATTGAGTCCATCGAGCAAAGTTTTAGAAAAACAATCACTTACACCCCGAATAACGCAATAACAAAACGATTATCGGAACCGTATCGTTGTAGTTTAGTTTTGATCCAAAGAAATGACATTGCCCGAATTTTTTGGTTGTGCCTTTCTGGCATTTGGACCACCATTAGCCTTGTTCACCATGACAATAGCACAAGATCCAATTCGCATTATTATTCTAGTGGCGGCCGCATTCTTATGGCTGTGTTCACTATTATTATCATCACTTGTCTGGTTCATATTCGTTCCACTTCGAGATGTCACCATTTTTGGAATGGTGATTTCCATAATCATACAGGTCAGTCACGATACTGAATTGAAATATGAAATTGAACATCTAAATAACTTGATTTGTTTTGCAGGAGGCGTTTCGATACGGAATTTACCGGGTCTTACGTGAAACAGAAAACGGACTACAATTAGTTTCGGATAACTCGCGAATTGTTGAGAATAAACATATTTTGGCTTACGTCAGCGGCTTGGGATTTGGCATCATGTCGGGAGCATTCGCTTTGGTCAATATTTTGGCTGATTCGGTAAGTGATGAATCTAATGGCGTTTGGATTTAAATTCATGTCTGAATGACTGAGAGAAAATCTTGTTGAATTATTACACTCGATTAAATTGAACTTTGCTCGGTTTCAGGTTGGTCCAGCGACCGTTGGTCTATTAGAAGGGCATCAATACTTTTTGCTAACCAGTTCAGCGCAGGCATTGTGCATGATTTTATTGCATACATTTTGGAGTGTAATTTTCTTCAATGCCGTCGACACCCAATCACGATTACACATCGGCTACGTTATAGTCAGCCATTTGATTGTATCCTGTATAACATTGCTGAATAGCTACCAAATGTATACGCTTACATTGACCACAAGCTATTTTATCACAGTGGCAACAGCCGTAATCGCATTTCGTGTCGTGGGTGGCACGAAAGATTCGTTCACACGTTTCATCACATGTAAATAACAACAACGATCTTCTTCTATATAAGGGCAACAACAAAAAAACTCAGTTCAACTTGCGAACTCGTTTGTCGTCCGAGTGTTATCCACACTTATTTTTTTTAAAGCTCAGCAAGCTATCATTTTAGAAAAAAAAGCGATAAAAATACATATTCATGGATGTGTTTGTATCATTTCGATTATGAATGAATCGAATTCGACTTTAGGTATTAACTCTTTTAACCATTCTAGATGTAATAAGTTTATGTGTATTTCTTTTGATGGTATAGCGATTTTTTGAGTACAAAAAAATATTTCAAAAGTCGTCTAAATGTAATAAAAAAATCAAATTTCATGAACAAAATCCAAATTCAATTTTATTTAGACTTTTTCAATGAAAAACAAAAAAACTGTTTCAGAATTGTTCAAAAAAAATGTTGTTTGGGATCGAACGAAAGAGAAATGGCTGCGTTTGATGTCATCGATCTGTGATTGGCAACACTTTTTGACATATTAGTTATGAAGAAGAAGAAGAAGAAGAAGACAGAATTCGATAGGGCATTCAGTAACACACAAAAAAATCCAATGTAAGTTACTATGTTTGCAATTTCAGCAAATACAATTACTCATTTGCAATCAGTGAATTAAAAGCTGCACACATTTCGTTCTTTAAAAAAAAATTGTTGAACTTACCGTTCGTGTTATTCTAAGTGTATTCGCCCAAAAATCACAATAAAAAAAGTGAAATTAATCAACGATAAACAAAGTGAACCGGATTTTCTTTTCTATTGTTCCACTTGTTACAATAAAATCGAGAAAAAGTGTATTTTTCCGCAAAAATTCAAGTGTTTTTTCAAAAGATAGTTTCAAAACAAGAAGTAAAGACTAGTTGTTGTAAATTTTTGTTTCAATTCGAATAAGTATCGCCTACAAGACATAAAGAATGATGGAATCACCTCCGACAACTGAGGCTGTTTATCAAGGCGTTTATACACTATACAACAATACAAACACTGTTGAACAAGAGAAAGCATCTAAATGGCTGGAACAATTACAAAATTCGGTAATTAATTCAATCAATTAGATATTTGTTAATTTTTCGTGCAAACAAAGCGATTTCATTTAGTTTTTGGAGGAAAAACAATCGACATAACCACACTTTACAAAAAAAATTTTCTTCGTTCAATTTACAAAACAAAAATAGGTCTATTCATGGCAAATAGCGGACGAATTACTGCAGCAAAAACGAGATTTGCATTCGTGCTATTTTGCAGCCCAAACGATGCGAAATAAAATCCAAAATTCCTTCCATGAATTACCAGATGAAGCTCATGTATCGTTGCGAGATTCATTGATTGCACATCTTGGACAAATTACAATCGATACAAATTCGATAATTGTTACACAATTGTGTTTAGCACTTGCCGACCTGGCGCTATTAATGTCACGCTGGAAAGAGCCGGTACGAGATTTAATCGAACGGTTATCACGGAATGAAAACAGTTTGTGGCCATTGATAAATACGCTTTCATTGATTCCGGAGGAGATCAGTTCACGAAATTTGCGTTTGGGCGCAAATCGACGTGATGAAATCCAAAAGCATTTGGAATCAAATTCAAAAACGGTAATTGAATTGTTGGTCGGCAGTTTAACGAATTTTGCGCACGCGAATCCACCCAAAGTGTTGACCATTGTTAAATGTTTTACATCATGGATATGTTCACATGCAATTAATGTTTGCGATACGACCAACAATGTCATTGTTTCCGAAAGTTTTAATCTGCTTAACAATCCGGAAACTGATATAAAAGTCCATGATGCCGCAGCAGATTTACTATGCTCATTTTTACAATGTCTTGAGGTAAATAATCATCCACATATTGAGCATAATATAATGCAAGAGGTGGTTAAATTAGAAACGGCATACCATATGTCGGTGGCACAGGAGGAAATCGATAAAGCAATGAACTTTTGTCGCATTTTCACCACTTTGGCCGAATCATTTTTGGACAAAATGATTAACACAGAACTCGAACAACAGCCACACTATTCGATTCAATCATTGGATTTGGTACTGAATTGCATAAGCCATTATGATTACGAAGTGGCCGAACTGACATTCTCATTCTGGTATCGCTTGAGCGAAGAACTGTACCAGAAGAACAATGACGAACTATCAAAGCACTTTAGATCATACATCGAACGATTACTATTTAGTCTGTATAAGCTATCGCAAATGGAACCCGATCACGAAGGATTGCTTGATGAAAATGACAGTTTTACGGTAAGTTTACGAATGTTTTACGACCTAAAAACGACACTGATTTTCATCGCGCCGTTTTTTTAGGAGTTCCGCCGAAAAGTCTCGGATGTCATCAAAGACGTTGTATTTATTGTTGGATCGAGCTATTGCTTCAAACAAATGTTCATGCTATTACAAGAGCCAAATACGACATGGGAAAGTAGTGAGGCTGCACTTTATGTCATGGAAAATGTGGGGAAAAACATTCTACCGTAAGTAATATCATCAAAAACAATTTTGAATTTAAAGTCCGAACACTTTTAAATGTTGAAAATTGTTGTCGTCTTTATTTAACAGAGATGAAAATGATGTGGTGCCAAAAGTAGCTGAGGCCATTTTAAACCTGCCTGAAAACACTCATATTGCATTCCGTTACACGTCGATAATGCTGTTGGGTGAATTGTGCGAGTGGATCGATAATCATCCGGAGTCATTGCAAGCTGTGCTCAACTTTTTGCTCTACTCATTGAATCAAAAGAATGGTTTGGCGGCCGCAGCAGCATCAGCCTTAACGCAAATTTGTACAGCATGTAAATCACGAATGACACCACACTTGAGTGGTTTATTGCAAATCGCACAAAGTCTTGATACCTATGAAATATCGAACGATTCATCGATTAACATACTGAAAGGAATATCAACCATTATCGGTCGATTGCCATTGGATCAAATAACCCAGCCATTACAAGAGTTGTGTTCGTATCAGCTAGGCTCATTGCGTCAACTATTATTACATCAAAACTATTCATCTGCCGAACGAACAAGTAAGTAGAAACACTGAACAAGCGTCCACAATGCCATTTTTTTTCAATTTTTTTTCTTCCTTTCCACAAAGGTGCCAGTAAGCAAGAGCACAATCTACGAAACGATCCGAGTTTCTGGTTGGATCGATTAGCGGCAATAATACGTTACACAAATCCCGATGTTCGAGAGAATGAGGTGCATCCGTGTATGGCTGTTTTATGTGAAATTTGGCCGATTATCTCTGAAATACTCAGTAAATACCAAACCGAAGGTCGAATTATGGAACGTGTATGCCGATGCATACGGTATGCAATTCGAAGCATTGGAAAGCAAGCGGCCCCCTTGCTAAACGAACTAGTTAAACAAATGATTGAATTGTATGCAACGCATCAGCACAGTTGCTTCTTATATTTGGGTAGTGTGCTTGTCGATGAATTTGCCAACGTAAACGACGATTGCACACGGGGTCTGCTTCAAATGATGGAAGCATTCATTCAACCAACATTTACACGACTTCAAATGGAAAATGGCTTAAAAAATAATCCCGACACCGTTGACGATTTCTTCCGGTTGTGTGCCCGTTTGCTGCAACGATGCCCAATTCCATTTTTACAAAGTCCCATCGTAACGCCGATCATACAATGCGCATTATTATCATGTACACTTGACCACAAAGATGCTAATTTGTCTGTGATGAAATTCTTCTATAGTTTATTAAATTGTGGACGACCACAACAAAATCATCACAGCAATAGCAATAATAATAATACAAATAACAATGGCAATTTGGTAATAAATGCACTCAATGCACAAAAACAACAACTCGTTCGTCAAATTGTACAAGAGCATGGTCAAGCGCTTGTTGTAAATCTCATTCAGGCATCCGTTTATTATCTACACTCATACATGCTTTCGGATGTGGCCGATGTTTTTCACGAAATTAAAGAGATCGATGCACATCAATTGAGCGATAATCTACGAACGGCAGTCGAATCACTACCAAAGACACATGCCACAGCTCAACAACTTGACGAATTCCATAACAATGTCATGCGGTAAGTAACATGCACTTTTAAATCAAACCATTCGATATGGAAAATATATTTTTAAAAAATTCGCTTTATTTTCATTTCAGATCCGAGACTCCAAAAGCCATATCACATGCGCTTAAAGATTTTACCCGACTTTTTAGATAAATAAATGAAATTAGTTGAGATCATGTTCAGAGACAACGACAGCGTCACAGATAGAAAGCAACAGAGGGAGAAAGAGATAGAGAGAGTGGAGAGGAGAGAGAATGAGTTGGGACGAATCTAGCCAAATTTCAATGAGAATTAATTTTAAAGAAAACCAAACACACACGCTTGCTCATTTAGGGTGCATTTACTTTATACACAGCAATCTATATCTACATTTTTCCTCTACTATTTCTCTTTTTTCATCCAGAACAATCGACATTAGCAAATTAAGACAACGGTTAACATTCGTTTGCAATTCAATACAATGTAACATTTATTATATGGCATATTAAGTATCCTAACAATTATTTCAAATGTAAACGTGAACTGATACATCCATAACAAAATTATGATGGATATTACATGCATTTTTTTCATACATAAATTTATGTATTAGCGAGAATACTAAAAAAAATATGTTTTGCCCGATACATTTTCAGATGAATTACAAGATTTTTTTTTTAAAGAAAAAACCATTAATTTGAATGTAGAAGTAAAATCGAAACAAAAATTAAGAAATTTGGTCAGTGTCACACATTGACGCGACATTTTTTTTAGGTAGAAAATGTAAAAAAAAAATCCAAAAGTAAGATACACTCTTTTGTAATTTTTGACACATACAGCAGCTAACGAACAGTCATTATTAAGTTCGTTAATTAACCAGCGGAAAAATTGTTGATTTAAATCTTTTTGGAATGAATAATAAACAAAACCTAACAACAACAAAAAACAAAACATAATTTAAGATTTGACACGATATTTGCCGATGTAGAATCTAAGAGAATCAACCGATTTGTGTGGAATATGCTATAACATGTATTGAGATGAATGACAAATAGTCATCAGATGATGAAAACAGTGTGTCCAAAAAATAATTATCTTTCGTGTCGATTCGGTGTTTGTAAAATGGTGTGCGGTGCCGCTGTGCGATAATATCAACCAAGAATACATTGCGAATGATTGTCATGCTGGAGAGATTAACAACAAGAATATATGAAAGATGAATGATATATACCAAGATATCTCATGTAAAATTTGTATCATAGGCTGAAAATGAATAAAATTAATTACTAATTAAAACCAATTTTACAAAAGCTCAAATTTATTAGTTTTTCTTTTTCCTGCCATATTTTTTTGATTTTGTAATTTTTCATCTTTTGAAAATTTCCGACCAATTTTGTATTTGATTTATTTTTCTATTTCATTCTTTTTATGACAAACGGTTACTTGAGTTCAAATGAAACAAACAACAATGTGACATAACCACAATCGGTCATACGGTTGTCTCGCTCTATCGCTGTCTGCCACACACAACTGTCATACCGAAAATAAATTCTGTACCAAGAAGCGATTACAATGAAAAGACAATAGACAAACACAAAAGACTGCAGGTCTTTCGCATAATTAAATCAAGATTTAAGTATTTATCTTTTGCATAAAGTGACAAAATAATTTGGTTAAATAAAAGAAAATGAACAACGTGAAATACCGATAGGCTATACAGTGCAAAAGAAAACACAACATATCACATATTTATAAAAAAGAAGAGAAGAGAGCACAAAATAATAAGAAAAGTGTCTCGTGCAAAGTGAAGAAAAGATCAATACGAAAGAAAAAAACATGTCTTCCAAAAACGAATTAAAGAAATTACTGTCGGAAGAGAGTCTTGCCCGTCCGCCGGAAGAGGTGTTTGATATTTTATTTAAATTGGGCGAAGGTTCATATGGGTCTGATATTCAAATTCTAATATTCAATTCATCCGTATTCTGTTAACAACAGTTCAAATTTATTAGTTTTTCTTTTTCCTCCCACAAAATTTTTTAATTTCGTAATTTAGGTCCGTATTCAAAGCGATACACAAAGAGAGCGGTGTTGTGGTTGCCATAAAATTAGTGCCGGTCGAATCGGATCTACATGAAATTATTAAGGAAATTTCAATCATGCAACAATGCGATTCACCGTATGTGGTTCGATATTATGGCAGCTATTTTAAACAATGTGATTTATGGATTTGCATGGAATATTGTGGGGCGGGCAGTGTATCGGACATAATGCGGTTGAGAAAAAAGACTTTGTCGGAAGATGAAATTGCAACGATTTTAAGTGATACACTTAAGGGTTTAGAGTATTTACATCGACGACGTAAAATTCATCGTGATATTAAGGCTGGTAATATACTATTAAATTCGGAGGGTCATGCTAAATTGGCGGATTTCGGTGTGGCCGGTCAATTGACCGATACAATGGCCAAACGGAATACAGTCATTGGCACACCATTTTGGATGGCACCCGAAGTTATTGAAGAAGTTGGCTACGATTGTGTTGCTGATATTTGGTCATTAGGTATAACGGCATTGGAAATGGCCGAAGGTAAACCACCTTATGGTGATATTCATCCAATGCGTGCAATTTTTATGATTCCACAAAAACCGCCGCCATCATTTCGAGAACCGGATCGTTGGTCAACCGAATTCATTGACTTTGTATCGCTTTGTTTGGTTAAAAATCCAGAAGATCGTGCCACAGCCAGTGATCTATTGAAACATGAATTCATCAAGAATGCAAAGCCACGCAGCATTTTAAACGATATGGTGGTTGAGGTGCACAACGTTCGTGAAACAATGAGTCGTAAGTGTGAATTGTATTATTTCATTTTCAAAACAAATGAATTGAATATATTTATCTGTATAGGTATGGCTCCAACGACTATCAATGCACAAGGTCGACCGAATCAAACGAACGCCGACGAAACCGACGATGACGATCAACAAAATTCGCACACAATTAAGGAATTTCCACCGGACACAGGCACTTTGGTGCCTGATCGTAACACGAACGATGGAACAATGATTGCGCACACCGACTGTGGCACACTTGTACCGGACAGCGGTACAATGGTGGAATTGTCCTCAAATTTAGGCACAATGGTCATCAATTCAGATTCGGAGGACTCAACAATGAAGAAACATGATACCGATCCCGATAAAGAAAAGTATCGACCACAATTCTTGGATCATTTTGATCGCAAGAAAACCGAGGCTATAAACAAAATGGTTGCCGATGTTGCAATGATGCCAGCCTCAGCATCGCCAATTGAATCCGAGGCCATACAACATGCCGTTGCTGCTGCACAAGCCCAACCACATGCCGGTTATGTTCAACATCAACCACAAATCGTACAAGATGTACGAGTGCATCAACAACAATATATACCTGGTCCAAGTCATATTCAAATACATCAACAGCAACCACAATTGTATCCAGCACTCCCAATGCAAATGGGAGTTTTACCACATTTGGTACATCACGATGGCATTGATAACAATGCAATTATGCATCAGCCACATATTTCAACGAAACAACACATTGATATCGCACTGAACTCAGACTTTATCAAATTTCTCAGTTTTGACGATTTGCAACAGCGATTGAACAACATCGACGTTGAAATGGAACGCGAGATTGAAGAGCTCAATCGGAAATATACGTCAAAGCGTCAGCCTATTTTGGATGCCATGGATGCCAAACGGAAACGCCAACAAAACTTGAACAATAATTTGATCAAGATTTAAACATTATTGATTTATATCAGTGACCAGATTGTGGCTACAGCTTTGGCAGTGCCATTTTCGCAGTGCTATTTTTTTAAGTCTATTGTTCTACAATTTGAACATTTCGTTTGGAATTGTACCATAAAGTCGCTGTCCTATGGGTTATTCACAAATAACGCCTATGAATTAAACGCTGCGAAAATAGCACTGCTATAGATGTAACACAATCTTTTCACTGATACGTGAAGTTTTTGTTTTTTTTCTGTTTGTATGTTGCCAAGTGAAGGGAGATAATTTCGATTTCTCACACGCATGTTTTTCTTTAAATAGAGATTTAGAATGAAACGAAAAGAACACAATTGTAATGGCTAAGATTAATAGAATAAAGAAACATATTTTCAAAGAAAAAAGAATATTTCAGTGGACGAATTTTTCATTTGATATATAACCTCAAATAAAACTCAGTTACTTTGTCCATGACTGATTCATTCAATTCCATGACTGCAGTCATGACTATAATTTGGTAAAAAGTAATATGAACAAAATATCAACTTCTACAGCAAATTTATTGGCAAAGCTGGCTATAGTAGTTAAAGGTTATGGAAAAATATGTAATATATGTGAATATGACGTTTTCGCCTTAATTGAATTAACAGATCTTGTGCGAATGGTATTTGCCAAAAAGTAATTTTTTCTCAACACTTAACTAAAACAAAACTTATAACTTCGACTTCATACGCCCACGACGTTCAAGACTTTGACAACAAATATCTTCCTGTGCTGATTTAGCTGGTTTAAAAAAATATAATATCTAGTGTTAAAATATAAATTGTCTTAAAACGTTGTCAGGAAATGTAATCATATGCACGGAATGATTCACAGCAGTCAAACTTTCAAGCAGTATCTTCTTTATAGAAAGTCACGGTAATTGTGGCTTGCGGAATAAATAAAACAAGTCGATAATTTCACAATAAATCAAAAAGTCAATTTACTTTTTATTTCGATTCTTTATTTAAAAATTCTATTGAAGTATGCAAGTTGTGCGTCTATGACGAGCTCCCAAACATTATTCATACATTCTTCGGTTAAAATGTCGATTTGGATAGATATTCATGTATTTTCATGTAAAAGTAATGGTTTTATTCACTTGTTTCTGCTTTTACAATAATCTCTTGAATTGAAATAAAAATAAAGATAAACATATGAAAATGCGTGGACATAAAAAATGGCACCAACCAAATTCGATCTAATGATATATAAAAGCTGTGCGTGATTCTTCAATGAATACTTCTTTATATCCAACAAATTAAATTAAAACCAATGAAGAAAAAGAATAAATAAATTACACTATAAAAAGTCGTACTGCTTTTTTTATTGAAATATGTGAAAAAATATCAATGATTCGTTTGATACAATAAGTACATGTTCGTGTAAAGAAATTCATGTTCAAATGAACGAAAAAAAAAAGAAAAAATATATATGTGTGTGATCGATAATTGCTTGCATACATGCGCGATAGTTTTGGTGTCAAGAAAATAAAAACAAAAACTTAAATCGATACTTTTCCCAAGCTTAGCAAACAAAAGAATTGAATAAAAAAAAAACAAATCTAAAAAAGTCAAAAAATGTCTTTTCAAAAATTTGGATCTTTTCATTGTCTTATTTTTTTTTCTTCTTTCATTCTGTTCGTTGCAATATCTGCCGTTCGTAGACAATTAGAATAAAAAGAAATCAAATTCAAATTCATCATTAAAAAGGAATCATGATAATATAGCGACACTTCGTCGTGGACCACCCTGGCTGATATTGTCCATTGATGACCATCGTTTGATTCCATTTTTGAGTGCTTCGGCCGTAACTTTGTCTTGCATAACACGTGACATTGCCTCCAAACGTTGTGCCCGGTCTTTGGATAACGGTTCCGTTGGAAATGACAAATCATTCGACTCAGCTAATGAACGTAAGTCAAAATAGTATTTTGCATAAACCGATGATGGTACATTGATATTGAATTGTAATAATTCCAAAAATTGTCGCTCCAATTCGTTCATATCCTCAACGGTAATGTCTTTTAAAATTTGGCAATAGTCGACATTCCAAACGGCTTGATCGTCCCACACTTTGCTGGCCAATAAAATGGCACCAAGCACAATGCGTTTCCAATTGCATGGTCCAATATCCAATTCAGCATAGGTAAGCAATCGCTCTAAATAGACTAATGTAATGATCGCACATTCGGCTGTCAATTGTGCGGCATTGAATAGCGTTCGCAAAAATTTATAAATTTGTCTATGCTCTGGATTGATTTGATCATAATCATCGGGCACTGGATCTCTGGTCAATGGATGTAATCGTTCATCAAATATATCAAGACGTCGTTCGGATTGTCGATTTTTTATGTGATAATAAATGGCAAGCGATACACATTTGACCGTATTTTTGAGATTTGGTTGTGATACAGTGCTGTCATCCAGGTAAATTGTTGAACATGAACTAGACTTTTTAAGTGCACCACCACTGCCACTGCCGCTACCAGTTTGCGGTGCAATTTGGTATTGAGATCGTTTACGTGTGATGCCATTATCGAACGATTGCTTTGAACGTTCCAAAAATAATGTTCGCGCTGATGGATCACATGATGGATCGACCGTATCAATGTCGCCCAATTCACGCTCCGATATATGCTGTAAATTATTTGTTGACAATTCACCTTCGGGAAGATGTTCTTCAAACACTGGCGTTTCTTTTGTTTTTCGCACTGGTTGCGGACTCGAATACGAGCAACATGATTTCGTATTTCCCATTGTTTCTAAATCGATTTATTCTCTGTGTAGTTTGCTGTAGAAATTCTCGGTTTCGTCGATTATCTACGACTTGGAATTGGTTATTATTTGGTTTAAAAATGTAGAAAAAAGATATTCACTCAATATTTCGTCTCTTCAATTTTTGAAGTGGGTTTCGTTGTTGTTGTTGTTGTTATCTTACTTCACTAACAGCCGGTCATTGTTTATATGTCTTTTTTTTAAATAAAAATATAGATAGTTTTTATTTGGATTCGGTTCGTATCCGTTGCGTTGACTAGTTTCGTGGTTTCACACTTTCCAATCTCGTTGATTGCGTAAAGTTAGTGTTCGATTCTAATTTTGGCACTGCATAAATGGCCCTTATTTGAATACCATCATTTTATGTTATCACTGTAAATAGAAAGAAAAAACAACAAACAAAAATTATAGCAAACTCAATAACCTGTACTTGTTGGAATGTTTTCAAACGAAGAAACCTGATAAAAATGCGATATTCAAATTATGTCTAATGAACAGACATTATATTGAAATATTTTCAGTGAAATGGAGTGAAAACAATAAAAGTGATTGTTATAGTGATTGTGGCAATGTAAGTGTAACTATAACCATCACTTCTATTGTTTTCACTCAATATCAGCGCTTGACGATATCTGGCTGAGCTGATTCATCTGGATATAATGTCTCAATATAATGTCCGCTAATGAATGATAAAAGTGTGTTTTCGCTTGGGCAAAAATAATATTTATAACATGGGTGGATGTGTGTGTATATCGAATTTTGGAAGGAAATATGCAAACAATATGGTCTTTGTGCAAATATCATCGAATTATAAAATTGATAATGTGGTCGCGGAGTGTATATGTGTGTGCAAAATTAGGCTTTAAGAAAGTCATTTCATTTGAAAATAGAACAATCAACAATAGTCACAGTGAGCAAGTGTTAGATAAGCAAGTATAACAGTAATCGCTTGATAAAAAGTAGGTTGGAATTTTTCTAAAAATTCCAAGAGCAAGACAAGAAAAATGAATATTTTCATTTATCGGTAGTTTTTATTATTATCATTCATTGAAATTCATCGTTTGATTTGGTCTACACTAAAAAAAGATAGTTAACGCTATAAATCTCTCTCTCACACTCTCATGTCAAATAGTTTTTTGAAATTGTATCACGAAACGGAACAAGGAGGGAGTGAGAAGGAACCGAAGAAAAACATTAAAATTCCAATTAATTGATTTCACTTTGGTCGCGCAGCGTGTACACAGTGTGTTTTCATGCATAAATAAATATATATAATAATGTGTAATGGCACACAAACGGACCGGATAAATTGGAGAATTTACCAAGCATTATTAATTCAGTAGCATATTTTTATCCGAAACAGTTAAAGAAGAGAAACAAAAAAATAGTCTTGCACACACAGTCACACACACACACATATATATATGTATAATATTGCATTTTCTCTTCTGTGCTGTCCACTTTTTGCGGTTTGGTCGTGCGCTTATTGCGAATATGTATTGCATATGTGTAACAATGAATAGAAATTTTCACTTTAATTAAAAATAGTCATAATGATGACGATTTATAGTTAGGTACATTCGTTTACACGAAATTAATATACACTAGAGACCACAAGCGGTAACATCACATTTGTCAAGAAGACTACGCCTTTGCACGACAAAATATACTTTCAGATTGCCCGGCAAGCCGAAAACAAAAATCTTTTCTCTATCGACACGACGAAGAAACAAAAAAAATCATTACCACAAGTAAGAAAAAAAACCGATTTGTTCTTCGATGGTATTACACTTTTTTGTTCTTTGTTTATTCCCTTTTTTGCACAATCTTCTGCTGTTCGACCATCAGCACTGTGTCATCTTATTTATTTCACATATGACTCTGTGTTCCGCTTTCGTGTTTGGTTCTTTTCTTATTTAAAATAAAATCATCAATGAATACAAACCCATTTTATTTCTTTTAATTCTGTTGCAATAGACACTGCACAATGTGTTTTTCGCTGATTTCGAATTGATTCTCTCAACTTTCAATTGAATTGTAAATGAACATGCGAATGCGTTTTTCTTCTCAATCGTCGTCGTTGTCGTCTTTTTTCTTTTCTTTTCTAACTTTCGGTGTGTACTCACTACCAAGATGCTTTTATGTGCTTGGTCGCTCTCCGAATGGAATAATACAATCAAATTGTATATTTATTAGGCATAAAGAATGAGCCACTATAGTTTATATAGATGGATATAATATACATTGTGAGAGTAAAGGAGATGGAATGAGCTCCGTTCATTGAAGCGAAATGTCAAAATGAGTAGCACAAAAAGCGGCCATTTCTTTTCAGGGCTTTCATTCACAAATCTTTCACTTAACAAAATCAAGCATTTTCTCCATTTATTTTTTGTTTAAATTATTTTTTCCGGATTTCGTAGAAAAAAATAATGACAATGTCTGATTGAACAATTTTGAGAATGATGATATCATTTGTTTCATTTATAGATCTTCTTTTATCAATGATTGAGTTTGTTTATTCACCGACCGACTATGTATGCAATGAAGTTGTTCCCATCGATTCGGTTTATGTGTTAGCAGCGCTGTCAACTGTCAAACTTGTCATTTAGTACAATTGAAGGCGAATATCATACGGGCTTTGTATCTTATTGCATCGACAAACCTATTTTCAACGAAACAAATTGAAAGCAAATCCAAACAGTTCTAGGCTAATAAATCAATTGTTATTGTGTTGCTATTTTTAAGAAATTTATCGATTAAATTTAATTTTTACTTGTTTTGAGAAGTCGTACATGAAAGTTAAGTGGCATTGAAAGAACGTTTGTACAACATTCCAGCGTCTAGAGGTGTATAAATCAAGATAAGCATGTTTGGTTTGCCGATGCAATGAGAAAATCACAATTCAGTTGAATGAAATAACGGTGTGCCATTGCAAACGAATATAACACATAAAAATGACACAAAATTTACTATTTAGCTTTGGATTAGCCGGCATTATTCGTTGCATTCTCATTACATCGAATTTTGCCGAATCGATTCGAAACCGAGTTGAAATCACAACACCATTAAATTCATGGAAAAGAAGTAAATAGTTTCATTTTCTCGTCATGATTTTACAACCTTTTTTCACTCGGAATTTTTATATTCATTTTCAGTTCAGGAAGGAGCATTTTTGTATGAGAACAACATAAATCCGTATTCAGGTGACTTGTATCATGAGAACCCACTAATTTTGTACGCATCAAATCTGCTCATACGCTATGCTAGTCCATTTATTCCCTATTTATTCGTTGGCTGTGATTTATTATGTGCATTTTTGTTGTATCGAATGGCTAAAGATTTTATTGCTCAACAGGTGAGTTTTGGATTCTTCAAATCAAGAATGTACATTAAAATTCGAATGTAATTTCAGTTCAGTACACAACAACGTCGATTGCAGTATTACGCCAAAGGAACACAACAACTTCATATAAAATATAGTGATTTAATTGATATACCGATATTTGTTGCATTGGCCTATCTCTTCAATCCGTATGCGATTTTCAATTGTGTAGGTCAAACGACAACCGTATGGAGTAATTTATTTTTGGCCGCATTTTTAACTTTTCTCATTCGAAAGTGTTCGCTTTTGTGTTGCCTGTGTCTGGCGCTTGAAACGCAACGCAATTTTTATCCCATTGAATTAATCATACCCGCATCATTGTATTTGAGTTTGCGCGAAGTAAGCAATGATGAGGCTGTCGACTTAATTGAAAACAAGACGTTTAAGTGGAGCGATATTGTCGGCGTCATCGTCAAATTCGGTATCGTTCTAACGGGGCTGCATTTAATTTCGTATTGCATTATAAAAGATTGGAGTTTTCTTGACGCAACATATGGTTTCATGTAAGAAGACATGATTTTAATTAATGACCATAGAACTGTGATTACAACTGTGATTACTCAATTAATTGAATGACTAATCGTTTTTCATTTGGTTTCAGTTTGAATCATCGTGATCTGCAACCGAATATCGGATTGTTTTGGTATTTTTTCACAGAGATGTTCGAGCACTTTCGACCGCTGTTTTTATTCTCATTCCAAATGAATGCCACCGTACTCTACTTGGTGCCACTGACAATAAAATTACATAAGCAACCGATATTCTTGGCAACCATTCTTATCGCACTCACATCCATATTCAGATCGTATCCATGTGTTGGTGACATCGCATTTTATATGGCTCTCTTTCCACTGTGGAAACACTCAACGATTTGTAAGGATTTTATTTGTCAACAATTTCTTTTGTTTCACAATCCAATCGGTTTCCAAATATTTCATTAAATCGAAAGGTTTTTTGTTCTTATCAAATTCTTTTTTTTTTTTTTTTAGTGATGGCGAATTATTTTGTTGTGTTCTGCTTTTTCCTCATCACATCGGCACTCGGTCCAACCGTTTGGTACCTGTGGATCTACTGTAATTCAGCCAATGCAAATTTCTATTTCGGTGCCACGTTGGCCTTTGCGAGTGCACAGGTAGTTTTGCGTGGAGGCTTAGTTATTGTTCTCGAAATGACCGCAAAACCGGCATTTTCTTGGAGTGCTAGACTTACCGTGACTTTTCTCGAAATGTGTCTAGTCACTGAGAAAATGAAGTCATACTCTGTCACAAAGTTCAATAACATTTCCCCCAATGAAATCATATTACGTCGTGTTCAATGATAGGTGACTCAATAACAATCTTTGTTTATTTTCCTCTTATAGATATTTCTGGTGACTGATTTACTGTTTGCGTCGAATAAGCGAGACTTTTGTTTGCGTCACGGACTAAATCGATTGAATCAATTAATTTTAGAATAAAAGAACAAACTACAAGTTTTAAGCCATTCACACAAATTGCAAATAAAATTTAAAAAAAATAAAATCAATGGTTTTTTTTTGGTTTGTTTCATTAAATTATTACATAAATTGGCACTGGTGACAATAATCTTATCATAAATTCGTGGCAAATAAGCATCATATTGAGGAACAATTGATTTTCACAATCATTTTTTGCTTATATCACATGGATCATTTCAATACCGAACTGAGTTTGTATTATTGTCGCATGCCGTTTGCATGTCAGACGATGAATTGACAAAACCGATTGGTATTCTGTAACTATTTGGATCTTTTACCACATCTTCATACTTTGGTGGTAAATCGTTGAATGCTGCGCAGAAAAAAAGTAGAAAAAATTCCCAAAAGGATGATAAACTAAATCCGTTGTAAAAAAAAACAGTTGTTGTTTTATAATACCTTTTAATTCTTGCTGCTGACGAATATATTGTTGTTGTTGTTGCGATAAAACGCTTGTCACTGGATTTGTGTGCATTGGATTTGCCAATGGTTGAAGCGTGTAGATATGATATTGACGATCTAATTGTTGATCTCCTGCAAAATAAAAATTTGCCAACATTATCGGTGTAAATTACTTTTCGAAATAAACAATAAAAAAAATAATTATTAGTATAATTGAAAATCATACGTATTTGCCGTTGTATATCATTCTCTTGTTGGGCCAATTTACGTTCTTTCATTCTGCGATAAATTGATTCCTGTTGTTTGTGAAAAAAATTACGATTTGAAAATGTGTAGAAAAGAATAAGATACACACACACTTACCACAATCAATACCAGAATGGTTAAACAAACGAGTAACCATAGCAGTGTCCAAGTAGCATCCATCATCTTTATGAATTAGAATCAATTGACACTTTCGTCTGTAAACGTGTAGCAACGTCGAAACAATGAAAACTGTTAGTCGCACAATTGACTTGGTTCACAGCTATACAGCGACTGACGTAAATTCTGGTGAATTTTCAAGTTGATAACTCTTTTGGGCGATCTTTGTTTTTTTCTTTTTAACGCTTGTTGTGATATGATATTGACTATGTCGTTTATTCTTCACTGATAAATATCACGAACACTCAATTTTAGCAAAACTGCACAAGACAGATTAATGAACCACGTTGTTATTGACAGTAGTAATAAGAATGTGTTGATTGAAACAGCCTATGTCAAATACCATACAAATTGCTCTTTCGAATGCGCCAATTCTAATAAAAACTTTCAATCAAAATTCAAAAGAAAATAAAAAATATTTTGTTATTTGTTTTAGTTCCGCAGTGCTATTTTATTTGTACCTTGTGCCTATTGATTGATTGTTCTTTCGCCAACTTCGTTTGGGTTTGAGATACGATAATGAAAATTATATCTTATCACGGACCTTATCTCTACCTTTATTCTCAGTTTTCCACTTCTCTTCGTGCAATCAGCAATGCAATGATGTGTTTTTATTGTTCTTCTCTATATTTTCAGCCTCTTAGAAACAATACATCGAAACGGTGCGACGTCACACAATGTGTATGAGTGAGCTGAGAACGTAGTCAGTCTGTATCCAATGTAAAAAAAAAGCCGAGCTCCATGAAGATATCAACAGTTGTTTTAGTATTGTGTGCGCACTGTGTTAGGAGTAAACATACACAGAGACACGAAAAATACCGTAATATGCTTTGTAATAAATTAAAAAAAAAAAACAATCACCAACAACAGCGCGATAAGCAGGTGAAAGAAAATATACACATCAAATTTGATTGCGAAATGAAAAATTGTTTTTTTTCTACCTGATAAAAAAGGTACCGAATTCAGTGTGACTCTTCGTGAAAATCATGTTTCAGTTGACTGTATTGCGCCGTGTAGGTGGCTTTACGCGATTTCATCCAAAAACTTTTTTGTATGCGCCTTTTTATTAACCGATCGGATTCTCGCAGCAGAAAAAAAACACACTCAATTATTCAATATTAAATTACAGACTGGAAGAAAAATAGTGAGCACAAATAATATAGTTAGAACAAGGAAATTTCGTGTAAAGTGCAGCATTGTTGTGATTGAATTGCAGGCACGATCATCAAATTATCTGCATAAAATGGGCATTTTTGGATACATTAAACAGTGAGTATGGATGATAAATTGCTTTGGGTAACGCAAAGGTGTAAAATAACACCCGTGCACGGTAGAAGAGAAACAAGAGTTCATTGAAATTTCGTTTATGGTAATTGTTATCTGTAAAGGTATTTCCGTTTCAATAGCCGTAGACACTTTGGCATGTGAACGAAAAAAAATCGCAAAATTCCAAGGTATTACATGGTAAACACACACACAAAAAAGAGATCCGATTGCCTAATTTTGTGACATTCAAATTTCAATTGGAAACACGCCCAAAACCACATTTATCTTGTCCAAGCTTGTTTTCAACAATAGAATAGATAACGTTCATTTAGTCACCGCGAATCACTAAATCAGTCCAGCCATCTACGTTTCAGATAGATAATTAAACATCACATATCAGCACAGTTTCAGGGGTAGATACTGAAAAAAAACTAAACTGTTTCAAAACAACAATCTTTTACACACGCGCGCACCTCTTTGTCTCCCGTTACCGTCGCGCTACTTCATTTTGCCAAATGATTCCAACAGGTAAACATATTTACAATCGTTATCGCGACTATGCCGTTTCTGGATAAAAATTGTCGATCGTAAAGCGGTGTCTAGTAAATAATCGGTTTTCTTTGGTTGAGTTCTTGTTTTTGTTTGAATTGTTGTCATAAAAAGACGTTTCAGTTCAAATTTTAATTAGCATGTGAAAACTGGTGCAAACAGTATTCATAAATGGTATATCACGAATTGACAGTCTGTCGACTATGTTGCGCGTCGTTTGAACATTTATCATCTTTTTCGCGATATTTGAATTCGAGTAGAATGAAACTTTCTCATTTTGTCGACTTCAGTACATTTACTGATATGCGATAATCCAATTTACCAACGACACACACAAACACACAGAAGGCAGTGTCATATTTTCTCAATTTGCAACGAACAACAAAAAACTCGATAAATGGCTACTATGTCAAATGCATGAGTACAATTACGGCGTTTGTGTAAAATTAACACAATTTCTGTTATTACTCGGTTAAAATTGTGCGCAGGAAAATAATGACGACAAAAACGTTAATAAGATCCAATAAATCTGAAACTAATTGCTTTTATCACATATCGAGCGTAAATTCGTCGATCAAATATGTAGACAGCGTCGCAGCAACTTATTTTTTGAACATAAAAATTATTCAAATGAGCAAACAAACATCGGCGTGGAGAATCAAGGGTCTTTAATATACACAGTAGTCACATTCATTTAAAATACACATTTCAAGAACAGAGTATAAGGAGCTATATCTTTACCTGCACTCACGTGAATTCATTGTGCTGGCCGAACGGATCGGAGAGTGTTCTTAATTCCACTATATAGAATCTTTTCTTCTCACAAACATTCTCTTCAATACACACAAACATTGCACACATTCGCGTTAGTTTCTCACTCTCTGTCTCGCTTTCTCTCTCTTTCGTTACATCGTGTACAATATCGAAGAGCACATGCCTGTTTATCGTAGTTAACGCGCGATACTCTAAACAACATATTCGACGGAGAATATTAATATATGCGAGGCAAGTACACTCCGAGCGATCATTCTCTCTCCCTCTCACTCCATCTTATTTTACAACGACCGTCCAATACACACAAATGTAAACAACTCGGTGAATGTATGTGAAGCGCAAAGCAGCAGCTGAAAGAGAGAAACAACAATTTCATATGATCTGGCAGTTAGTTTAATAGTAGACTTTGCTTGAAATTCATGTAAATTCGATATACGCTCTGCGTCAGTATTAACGACGACTTACCAACACTTTTTTTTAATTCTTGTTCAACCGTACTTAAAATTTTATTCTCAATAGACTATAACTTACCGTGTCGCGATTGATTTTCAGAATTGTGATTAGAGTGGTTTGTTGCATTTTTTTTCGCTTCATTTCCGCAAAATAAAAATGACAATTTGCAGTATTATTTGTGGTATTTGAATGCGATTTGCTGCTGAAATAAATGACATTTATCGATTGATTCAAGCGATCAATTTCAAGTGAACTACGATTATGTTCAGTGAATTTTCAATGAACAGTTCAGGTTTTTGTTTACATAAATGATGTGCACCGCTATTTCATGCCTTGCGTTAATGAGAAGAAATACCGATGCGTATACTTTTATGGCATTCTGAAATGTGTAAACAAAAAAAGAAAAATCTGTACACAGCGCTGCGATAATTAAATTCGACATTTTTAATGAGTTCATTGCTGCTGGTGTACGCAGAGCACTGATTTATAATGATTGGCCAAATATTTATAAAATAAAAGAAATAGCCATGTTTATGATCTTTTTTGGATTGTAATAAGAACGCAATTTTGAACGAATGAATTAAAATAATTACGATTTTTTTCTGCCGACTCCATGTAATTTACATTAAAATTACTTTTTTTAAATAGCATATTTCGTTTGATCGAGCGCGTGAAATGAGATAAGAGCGAAAAGAAAGAAATGTTCATTGAAAAGAGAGAAGTGAAAAACGACCTCGTGTGGAAGCGAGTGGAAAAAAAAATTCGTATAATTATACACTGTTGAATTGACTTTAATGCACTTAAGCCCAAAAACTCAAGCACTCAACAACGCATTTGTGCACAATACAGAGCGTGAATGATGTGTATTAAATTTAGCATATAACTCACTCTTTTCTCTGTGAGTCTCAAGCACTGCACTTCGATACACATGCAAAATAAATTTGTTTTTAAAACTTTCGGCAATTTTCCGCGGTCATTAAAAAATATCGTGACTCTCTCTCTCTCTCTCTATTTGCGAAATAAAAAATTAAATCGACAAAAAGAGCGAATGAGAAAAAACTCGATTACTTCAAAATGTGGCGGCAAATTACAAAAAAAAAAAACATAAACCAGAGATGGATCATTAAAAAGAACCAACAAAATATTTGATTGTCTAAACAGAAAAAATGCGGTTAAATGTTTAAGTTAATTTCCACACAAGCATTTTTATCGAAAACAAAATTGATTACGTAAAAATGCCATTCACGATATCCATCAATCCAATTTTGTGGCAGTAAAAAAGTATAAGCGGATTTTGCATAAAAATAACACTATTTAAGCTGTAACTATTGAATGAAGTCGTAGGTCTTTCAGCAAGCGTCAGTAAAATTGTACGGTTTCATTCCGAATGAATCATTCATATATGCGGAATTACGTGCGATTTTCACGACTTTTTTCCTTCTTCTAAATTTAATTGGATTAAATTTAACAGTACTTTATCGCAATTGTAGTGCGGCACTATACAATATGCAACGTGTACAGGTATAGATTTTGTACAAAATGCGTTAAAACGATCTTTTGCTATTTGTACGCGCGCGCAACCAATAGAATCTGCCGTCACGTGCTGGTTTTGTTTTTTCTCGCCGTCATTCGTAAACCAGATTTTTTTCGTTCTGTTGACTGTGCAATGGAAACATGCGTTAAACTCATTTTCATGAATATTGATCGGGTGATGATTTTATGTGAGTGCATATCGATGGCAACGATCCTACTATACATTTATTAATGGATCGGATGAAACGTAGAACACTTGGGGTATAATTGAAAATCACTTTTTTTACGTACAACACATTTTTTGGCCCAAACTACAAAAACCATTTCGGCTCTGTATTTTTAAATGCCATTTTAAATTTTTTTTTGTTCGCATCTTGACCGTTCGGAACTTGTTTTATTATTATTGCCTCCTGAAAAATATCGGCTTAAAATCTTCAAATGAAAAATGGTCTGGTGCGCAAATTTATAACGAACGTGATCGCTCGCGAAAAATAGCATTTTACACACACACACACACACACACACACAGAGAGAGAGAGAGAGAGAGAGAGAGAGAGAGAGAGAGAGAGAGAGAGA